CCCTGGAGCAAGAAAGATGAGTAGRAGCAAGAAATCAGCATTCCTGAAACCTCTCATGGTACCTGAGGTACCTTAGCTCTGGAGTGGAGGAACAGCCTCTCCTCTGTTCTGACAGGTACTGAACTCTGAGCAGAGCTCCCTGCATCCAGGAGAAATCCAGGAATTTCAAAATGGAGCCAAGCTTCATTTTGGCAAGGAGAATATTTCCCACTGTGATTGGGGTGGGACCCAGGCCCTGCAGAACCCCAAACCCAAAGGGCTCCAGCCCAGCACCAGCTGGGGGGCTGAAGTGTGACCTTGCTGCCAGTGTGACAGCCTGGGAGRCTTTTTTAGCTGAGCTCCCTAATAGTAGGTTGGTTGTTTTCGTGTTTGTTTGTTTGTTTGGGATTTATTTTTTTTTAAATTCAATCTTCTTGTTTAATAAAATGGCATGTTTTTCYCTTGAGCTGGTGCCCACCCATCACTGCTCTTCTGATCTCTTTGCTGGAGGAGATGTTCCAGTGGCCAAGGGCATAGTGATGCTGGTGGTTGGAGACCAAGGGAACTCAAAAGAGCAAGACACAGACCTTCAGGTATGTCCTTTCTGGTTTTGCTGATTCCTGAGCTTGCTTTCCAATCACTGTTTCACAGGATTTAAGTACAAAAATTTTTGTACTTAATAAATAGAAATAATATATTAATATTGTGAAGAGGAAAAACCTGCCCCAGCTTTACCCAGTAGTGATATGCACATAGATGAGCCTTGACTTCACCCTGTGGGCCTGTTTCAGTTTAAGTTGTTCAACATTCTGCWGATAAACCAGTGAAAGCTGGCGCAGGTAATGTGTTTTGCGGAATAATTGCAGCTGGGAGCAGAGGATGCTGGCTGGCAGTGTTCTACAGCCCTGTGCYGGCTGGGTGGTTTTTGTGTCGATTTCTTGCCTGGATTGTTTAGAATTCTGCAGCAGTGAGTAAAGAAATGGAAAATTACTGCCTTGTCCGCAGTTGTTACAGAAATCGAAGTCTCCAAGTGGCCCTGGAAATCTTCATGCTGCTTATTTGCGGGGCCAGAGCTTACTCCTCAGTGTTCTTGTTTAGCTTCTCACACTGAGCTTTTGAGACTCCAATTTGCTCCAGTGACAGATTTTGGTGAGTCACCCCAGCACTACCTGGCTGCTCTAGGGGCAGAGGGGCAGCATGGGGCTGCACAGGGATGTGCCTGAGCAACCCCAGCACYCTCCACTTTTGCACAGCAGTGGGAAATGACCCTTTCATTCTAAACCTGTCCAGCCATTCCTTTTCATTGCGGTTCCTTGAAGTCCTTCCATGGCCATCCATGTGTGCCACACAGGCAGAGTGGCAGCCAGTGACTTTCTGACACATCTGTCTGACCTGAAGGCTGCCCCGTGCCCACCATCCCACCCAGCTCAGTCTCTTCAAGAGCCTTTGCAGGGGAAACCAGTGGAAATCYTCCTAGGGATTCAAATTCATTATCCATGTGCCTCTTTTCAACAAGGAGGTTTTTCTCTCTAACATATAATGTCTGGAGTTTTGCTCCAGTAAATCACAGTGTGTATTAATCATTTTTTCCAGGCTCTTTGGAAGAGTATTTGGATGTAAAATAAATGGGATTGCCCCTGGAGCCCCTTTCTAAAAGGATGCCCTACTGGCCATTTTCTGTGTCCTTGGTGGTAGTTTAACTCATAATTTAAAAACATGATAATCAGTACTTTTGTGTTTGAGCTCTTTAGACCACTGGAAAAGCGCCATTTGGATTATGCTCTTCAGATTTTATTACTGTAATTTCATAACCTTTTTCGACTGAATGAGCTGAAAATTAAGTTTTAAATGCTTCAGCACAAGTGACTGTCAGAATTGCCCCTCCTTTCCTGGCTGTTTGTTGTCCTGTTTCCATGTGTTTGCAAACCCAGAGCGATGGACTTTTGAGACCCTGCAGCACCTGCTGCAGCTCAGCTTTGCTGAGGCTCCTGGCTCATTGTCCCTCATGAGTAGCCACGGGTGCCATCAGCCTCTGCATGACTGTCCCTTGCCAGCTCAGGAAACTTCAGCCTCTGTCATATCTCTTCCTTTGGTCAGAGCTGCACAAAGGACGAGGTTTTGAAGTAAGTATGTATTGTACCACTACTTTTCAAATCTTATCTTCATTCCTYCCTTCCTTTGGTGTGTGAGTCATCCCAGCAAACCTGTCGTGCCTTAAATTAATTGAGCCTTGGAAGGGAACAGAGATAATGAGCCATTCCAAACTGGCATTTCTTAAAAGCCAGGGAATGTACAGCACATGGTAGGGTGCTGCTTGAGTCTGCCTCACCTTGTCAAATACATCCTGAGCTCATCAAGGGATGTGTGTGGTGTCTGTTGGCTTCTGGCCTCCACTCCAGACACCTCAGAAGGAAAGCTGTTTTGAAAAGGTCCTGCTTGTGGAGCTCCAGCTCTCTGGCCTCAAACCAGTGATGCATATGCAGAAGGGGTGACTTCAGACACCGTGAGATGTGYACAAGCTTTGAACTGTTCATCAAAGGCAAGAGGGCTCCTTGTGAGCTCAGTGCAGTGGGGTGTGAGTGTGGGTTGTGTGTAGTCCCTGCTCACTGTTCTTGTGCCTGTGCAGAAGGACTCAAAGGGGCTCTGTCTGGTGCCCTGCAGAGYGAGCTGCAGGCAGAGATCACGGAATTAGTGTCCCCGATAACAGCTCGCATGCATATCATACACAGAAAGTGACTTACCCCTTCCACTCTTGGCCAAATCCCTTTCATTAGCAAAGAGTTTTCTGCTAAGGAAAAGTAGATTTTTGGGGTTTTTTGTTTGTTTTTTTATTTTCTGTCTTAACTACCATGGAGAGGGGGAGAAAAGCCAAAGAACTTCCTAAAAAGAAAACACACTGTAAGGTGTGTCCAAGGCTGGGAGGCTTCTGAAGCCGAGTTCCCCCCAGCAAAAGACAATGCACATTGATGGGTTGAATTCCCTCACAAGTGGCCTGTACCAACCAACACAAATGGCAGACAATGATGGCCCAAGCCATGGCCAGGCTGGAGYACTCAGAGCTGGCAGGACACCACAGGTAGGAGCTGGCTGTTATTGTTACTTGTGTGGTTTCACATCCCCTTGAAAATCAGGGGRCCAGCAATAAGATGGGAGTTGGGTGTGCTGCCAGTCATTCTGTATGACTTTCTTCCAAGGAGGAAAAAAAAGAAGTCTGAAGATCCAGTCCCAGTGGGTCACTAGACAAGACCCATCAGTGCGGGGAGGGRACATAGTTACAATGGTAAATTAGTTCTCTTTGTTCTGTCACTCAAGCCTTACAGCTGAACCTCAAGGGCTATCAAATCCATTTTAAAGCTTTTCTTTTCCAAGCATCCTGAAGTTCCATCATTAATAGCTTTTATGTACTTGCCATTTGTATTTTGAATAATAAAGCCTAAATTGTAACTGTTCACAGGACATCAAATGCAATTGCTATGGCATTGTTGCCCTTTTCTTATTTCGCTTTTTGAAGCCCATTTTGTACAACTTGCCACTCCACCCACGAATCTCAGAGCCAGTTAGAGCACCGTTCCCATGTCAGTGGCAACTAATGCTGAATCATATTCTGTCCCTGGGGAAATTGAGCTTTGGTTGGGCAAGTATGTGCCCTTCTCAGTTGCTGCCCCCTGAATTTTAATTTGATTTAAGTTGGAAGATTAATTTAGAATTTGGTTGTATTTTCTGTTCTAGATCTGCAATGTCCATTGCTACGAAATATGGTGTGTCCATACCAGGTGAGGGGAGCCTGAAAGCCTCTGTGGAGCTGCTAAAACTCAGGCTGGAGAGAAGTCCCAGCAGCACACAGAGGGCTAGGCTCAGGTGGAAGTGCCTGGTGACAAAGCTCTCACCCTGCTGCCACCTCAGGCAAACCTGAGCTGGGTTATAACATGTGTCTGGGCTGTGCACATTGGGTAGCACATGCAATGTAAGGCATGATAATAAATATTTCAGGGGCTCAGTTATACTTTTTGTRCCCTAGAATCTGACAGACAGACACYAATATCTGARAGCAAAATGAAGAGTTCTGCAGCTCCTCAGTTCCAAAGCCTCCTGGTGTCTGTGTATCTGCACTGTTATTAATTCTTCTGTCCACAGGGAAACCAGCCCTCCAGAAAACAAAAAGACCTTCTGACATATAAGAGTGAGACACAGAAAGAAAAGACACTGAATACCTTTAATACCTCCAGCCTGTAAAGTCTCCTCAGAGACAGGCAGGTAACTGGAATTTTGCTCCAGGACCGGMACAAAACTCTAATAATTTTATTCCACAATGCAGCCATTCCTGCTCCTGAAGTGTTTTGTCCTGAGAACTAAAAAAGCAAACAAGCATCAATCAGAGATTTATCTAATGACGTGGAAGACATGGGACCTGCAGTTCCATGTTGTTATTAGGGAACAAACAGGACGACCGGAGCTGCTTATTGAACCGGACTGGGCTGTTAACCCCCGGAGTCAGAATAAAAGGAAACCGCGGCACCAGTTAAACCCTGGAAACGGCTCCCGGGACCGGCGGCGCTCCGCCCGTGCCTTCTTTTATGAATGAAGCAGCTCTGCCCCTACCGGAGGCTCCACCCCCACCGGCTCCACGTGCGGAGGGGCCGGGGGGTGCGCGGGGTGCGCGGGGAGAGGGGCGCGGGGTGCGGGGTGCAGGGTGGAGAGTGCACGGTGAGAGGGGTGTGCGAGGTGCGCGGGGAGAGGGGTGCGCAAGTTGCGCTGGGTGCGCGGGGAGAGGGGTGCGCAAGTTGCGCTGGGTGCGCGGGGAGAGGGGCGTGGGGTGCGCGGTGCAGTGCGGAGAGTGCACGGTGAGAGGGGTGTGCAAAGTGCACGGGGTGTGCAAGGTGCGTGCAGAGCGCGGTGTGCGGGGCGCGGGGTGCAGTGCGGAGTGTGCAGGGCGGGGTGTGCGGTTGCGGGGTGTGCACTGCGGGGTCTGCGGGGTCTGCGGTGCGGGGTTTGCGGCGTGTGTGGTGCGGGATGTGCGGAGTGTGCGGTGCGGGATGTGCGGAGTGTGCGGTGCGGGGTGGGCAGCGCGGGGAGCCGGAGGAGCCGCTGCTGCCCCTTGGGACCGGGCGTCGACGGGGACAAAAACGGCCGGGCAGTGTGAGGTAACTGAGAGGGGGTAAGGGTAAGAGTTAGGGAGGGCGCTAAGGGTGGGGAATTTGGTTTCTCCTTGTGGTTGTAGTGTGCAGGGAACTGGTGTGTAACCATGATGTAATGTATGCACTATCACGTACAGACCTATCTGGTCTGGGAAGTGAAGCGTTGGTTTCTATTCAGAATGCAGATTGTTGCTGGAACGGTATCTTTGTCTGTTCTTAGAGTGGAAGGTGAACATTTCTGCATTGGGAAGAAACTTCTGCAGCAGCAGCACAGGATGGTCAGGCAGCCTGCTTGAGCCCAGAGCTCACCTGCAAAGCTCTTGCTCTTCTTGATATAAGAGAGAATGTGTGTTCCCAGACCAGCCTCTTTCTGACATACCTGGAACTGCTCCCCAGCAGGGAAGACTGCACTTGACCTACCATGCCTCTCTCACTGCTTCAGCCATACAGGTCACAGGTGATGGCGTATCGTGAGGAGTTTGACCACTACTCTTCCCTGGCCAAACTCATGTCCATCTACCACACAAGCAACAGAACCATCTTCAACTGGACAGAGAGCCGCATTGTTGAGTGGGAGAAATTTGCTGAGCTGGCTAAATATGAGCCAGAATCCCAGAAACCAACAGTGAAAGCTCTCCTAATCGTGGCATACTCGATCATTATCATCATGTCTCTCTTTGGGAAYGTGCTGGTGTGCCAYGTGGTGCTGAAGAACAAGAGGATGCACTCAGCCACCAGCCTCTTCATAGTCAACCTGGCCGTGTCAGACATCATGATCACGCTGCTCAACACACCTTTCACCTTGGTAAGTAGCTGGTGGTGCTGTCCCTTCAGCCAGRACAGGAGTCTCCCACACACCAGAACTCTGCCTGGTGGTCATATTCTTCCCATGCATCCCTTCCTAGGGCTGAGCAGGAACCCAGCACCACCAAGTCTAATTAACAAYCCTGCCAGGCAAGTAAAGCACTGTTCAGCAAACTGTGGGCTCTCTGTTGCTCTCTTAGACTCTGTAACTCKTAGAAACTCTGAAGTCTCTCCATGTGTGCTACCAAACCCTAATAAGAGCTTCTTGAGGAACAAGTGCCTGGGTGAACATGTGATTTTACAGTGCACTGTCACTTAGTGGGTCAGAACAGTCTGAATGCCAGACATACTGGGTGACTGAAAGAAAGTAGTCAAGCTTTTCAGACATGCCAGCTGAATAAAGGTTTCAATGAAAGCTCTCCAGATTTGTCGGTGGGGTTGATATCAAACCTTGGTTCACTTTTTCCAAATATAGTTGTTAATGTAATAGAAAGTTAGTACCACAAAAAATGTCTGTAGAACAACCAGGGAGACAGTGGCAACAGCACTCCATAATCTGTGGGGTTTGACCCTATAAACACTTCCTTAAAGGTGTTTCAAAGACCAGAATAGCTGATCTTTCTTTAGGTTTCAGGTGAAGCTGGCTCTGAGCCAGCTCAGGTACCAGCCAAGGGATTTCCCCATGGATTTGTTTTCAGCACGTTTTTTAGCTGATGAGCTGTTGTTTCCCCTCAGGTCCGGTTTGTGAACAGCACATGGATCTTTGGAAAGGCCATGTGCCACATCAGCCGCTTTGTGCAGTACTGCTCCCTCCACGTGTCCACACTGACCCTGACGGCCATCGCTCTCGACAGGCACCAGGTGACACTGCCTGTCCCTCTTCCTTCCAGAGCTCTGGGAGGAGACTTGAGCTGTGTGAAGGTTTTACCCATGTCTGTCTGTGGCCATGACAAACACTGGCTGTGTGTCCAGTGCAGGGCAGAAGGGCTGCCCAGGCTGTGTGCTTGTCCCTAGCAATCAGTCCCCTTTCCTGTATATTGTCAAGTGGTAAGTCCCAGACTATCGGATTTTACAAGCCTAAAGATCTAACAAAGAAAATTTCATGAAAGGTGAGTTGCTGCCTCAGCAGAGGAGAGAAAAGCTCAGCTTCATAGGCCCAGCTAGAACAAGAGACATTTCTTATATAGTTCATMCAGAATAAACAAACACCCCTGAGTGAAGACACTTATGTAGATATCTTCTCTTTTTTTGACCTRATGTAACCCCCAGCTTAAGGAAATTTTTCTCACAGAACAAGACAGAGGATGAAATTTGAAAGCTTTTCTGAGCAGACTGAGAAGTTCAATGTTTCCATTTTCCAGGTCACTCTAATGTACAGGATATTTTCCTAGTCACGGCTGTCATTTTCCTATCATTAGCTGTGTTAGGTTATGTCACAAACCGCCCACCCCCCATGAGGGCTGTGAGGGGCTTTGCTTCCCACAGGAGAAGAGTCACRGCAGAGTCTCTGTTGCAGGTCATCCTGAACCCTCTGAAGCAGAGGATGTCTCTGACAAAGGGAGCACTGAGCATCTCTGTTATCTGGCTGATGGCAACCTGTTTCTCSCTGCCCCATGCCATCTATCAAAAGCTTTTCCAGTATAACTACAGGTGAGTGATCTCCCCTTCCCAGTGAGTGTGTGGAGCTCTGCATGCACCCTTATGCAGTGCTGCTCATCAGGGAGGGTGCTGGAGCATCCCAGSCWTGGGGAAGGGYGATGTGGGATGAGAGGGAGTTGGTKTATGAGATCCACTGCCCAYAGCAGAGACTGGRGCTGTGGAAGAGCTGCCYGGCCTGCCATGGGGCACACTGAAGCACCGGTTGTGATACTTCCCTGTATTTCTTCCACGTGGATTTATGAAACAGAACCAGCCCTCCCTGAAGTTTGAGATTCCTCTGCCCAATGTTACACCAATGAGAAAAGCAAAAAGAAGCTCCTACCCCCTTCTCCATGGAGCAGGACTGTGGGGGACCAGTGTGAAGTTGCAGGGGGACCAGTGCTTTGGCAGGATCCGGAGCTGCCCTGGTGTGCCATGGTGCCTCCCCAYAGCAAAGGGAACTCTTTGCTTGGCTGAAGATGAAGAGAGCAGATAAAGTGAAATTTCACACCCACATGAGGACTAGTGAAATATCAGAAAAAAAGAGAAGGTTCTGATGTAAAGTGATGTAAAGAGAAAGAAAGAAAAAGGAAAAAAAATCAGAAGCAGAAGCTTATCCCCTCAAAAAAGGCCCAGCAATGGCACTTGTCTCTGCTGTCACCCTCTGCCAGGGAGAAATACAGAACCCTGACTTTGGGCTTGCTTTGCCCTTGTGCTCCGTTCCTCTGTGGTACCCAGCCTGTTCTGCCCCTCCTGTCCCCACCACCCTGTGGCATTGCTGTGACCTTTTCTGTCTACAAAACAGTCCGTAACAGTACCCAAGCGGGATTTTTGTGGCGGGTGTCACGCTGCTGGTGCTGCCCTTCRCAGGAATGCCAGCCTCCAGGCCAAGGGGATAATCTTACCATGACCTGTATTTTCAGGCTGAGATCAGCATCCCAGGGAGTGGGGCAAGGAGACACTGATAGGCAGCAGGAATGAGATTTCTATTGTAGACATTGACCTTCTGTATAAARACAAATCTAATTTGCTTCAGCCCAGCCAGGTCCCTCCTGTTGGCAAAGCAGGAGAGCGTGAGTGCCTGCATAGGCTGTCACTGCTTTTGGTGTACGAGGGGCTGGAAGTGTGATGGGGGCTTCACAGCCCTCCCCTGCCTGTGCTTGTGCCTGATGTGACTGAGATGCCCAGGGGATATCATACCTCCAACTGTCCAGACTGTAAACAGGGCAGGGTTACTCTGTGCTTGCGTTGCTCTGCAGCTGTGCTTGGGGATTAGGGAACAAATTGCTCATGAATGAACAAACGCTACGATCTGTTTCGGGGCACCTGTCTCTGCTCATCCTTTGGCATGGCCAGAGGAAACCGAGCCCTGTGTTGGCATGAGGCAGCTCAGCGATATAAGGACTTCCAGGACATGCTATTCCTGTCCCTGCTTTCCATTGAAAAAAAAAATCCCAGTTGCAATATTGCTTTTAATAGTTCATGCAGGGCCAGGGCTACTGAGATTCCTACCAGGGAGTGGTTGGGGTTCTGGGATGGGAAATGGGCTCTGCCAACATCAATCTCTCATGTGGCTGCACTACACACAGCATGTCTGAGTCCCTGATCATATCAGAATTCACCAGAACAGTGTCTTGTCAGATCCCCTTTAGCAGGTCCCCAGTGGTGAATCAGATCCTGGGGAGGAAAAGGCTGAGTTCAGTAAGGATGATTTTCCCTTCTGCATCAGTTCCCCTCTTGAGTGGCATCTCCAGGTCCTCTGTACTTGGTGGACCCATTGTCACTCCTCTGACCTCATGCCCTGCTGCAGTCACCCATTCTCAACACTCTCCTGTTTGTGGCATGAAAGGCAGCTTCAGCAGTTGAAAACAGGATATTAAAGATATTTATCAGTACTGCAATGAATAGTATAGCTTGATGGTGACTAAAATCTACGCTGAATAGAGGAGAACAGAAGACAGGGGCTGAAGAGAGAAGAGTAAAATAGAATAAGAGGAAGAAAAAGAGAGGGGAAGGGAAAGAAAAGGAGAAAACATCCACAGGAAATAAATGTGTGAGTGCTCCTTTCTCTTAATATTCCATCACTTCCAGTCACCAACTGCAGGGTGTGGAGGGGCCAATATTGTGTGGTGAAGGGTGCTGGGGCTGGGAGCCACTGCTGACCAGGCAGTGGGAACACACTCAGATTCTGGGGCTGGATGGGATGGGATAGGTGTAAGGGGCTGTTAAAATGAGTCGTTGTGTATGGTTACACTCMATCCTCCTGTCAGTTAATTGTCAATGGTTCAACTGGAGCCAACTGATGAATTATCACACAAGTTTTAAGATGTATCAGGAAGGTTGTAGGAGCTGATGGCAAGGGAGTGGTGGGTAGGGCAGAGAAGGGAAGGGAGGTGGGTTGGTTACACCTGTGAGGTTTTCTCACAGCTCCTAGCCTCCAGAAACCCATTCCTTCCCATCYAAAACAGGTTTGGCTTACAGCTGCTGCAGCAGCTCCTGTGCTGGGGGTATGGCAGGGCGAGGGATCCTCACTGCTGGGGGCACAGCACGGTGGGTGCTCACATGCAGGAGCTGCTGSTCCACCCTGAGAGAGACATGTCAGAGCTGTGGCTCAGTGTCCTCCCTCTGCCTACAATACACCTCTGAGCAGGTGGCTGTGGGCAGTGTGAGACCCCCACTGTGGTTTGCTATTGCATTTAACAGCAATAGCCACAGGCTCTATCTGTGTTTCTTTGTTTTCAAGGGAAGCCACTGTCCGGAGTCTGTGCCTCCCTGATTTCCCTGAGCCTGCAGAGCTGGTGTGGAAGTATCTGGACCTGTCTACTTTTATCCTTCTTTACCTTCTGCCTCTGCTGATCATCACTGTCACCTACATGCGCCTGGCCAAGAAGCTGTGGCTCCGCAATGCCATCGGGGACGTCACCACGCAGCAGTACGTCATCCACCACAGGAACAAGAAGAAGAGCATCAAGATGCTGATGCTGGTGGTGGTGGTCTTTGCRGTCTGCTGGTTCCCCCTGAACTGCTACGTGGTGCTCATCTCCAGTCTGGGCATCAAGACAAAGAACTCGCTCTATTTTGCCCTGCACTGGTTCGCCATGAGCAGCACCTGCTACAACCCCTTCATCTACTGCTGGCTGAACGAGAGTTTCCGCACGGAGCTCCGGTCCCTGCTGTGCGTGTGCCAGAAGGTGCCACAGGCTCAGGAGCAGGAGCTGCCACCCAGGGCTGTGTCCTGCCGTGAGGCGTGGCTGGAGCAGGCCAGGTGCAGGAAGGGACCTGCCTCCCAGGCCAGCTGCTCCCCCAGGAACCCCTCAACAGCCAACACGGACCTGTGAGCCACGGGGCTAAGGGGGGTTATCCGGCTGGGGGAGGCATCAGAGGGCATCTCCCAGTGTCCCCTCAGGAACCAGCATTGCTGCTCTGCTGACTTTGGCCGGTCTCACTGCAGCCCCTCCTCTGYTTGGCATGGTGGGCACACAGCCTCTCCAGCACTTTCCCAGTAAAACCCATGCTGCAGCTGGCCCAGGGACAGGAATATGTACAGGGGACATAGACCTTCTCCAACACGGTGACCTGCTTTCAGATTTTCCTTTTTATTGCTAAGAGAGGGAGTAGACCTGGGTTTCTGTCACTGGCCTAAGTCACTGACCTGTAACATGCCATAACATGGGGCTCTGCACATCACAGGATCCATTATAAGTGTTTGAAGGAAGGCCTTGGACATCCAGATGAACTCCATCCACAGAAGTATCACCAGATAGTATAGCAAAGCCTCCCAGCAGAGGTAAGGATTGTTAACAGCAATTTTCCCCTCAGATGCTGATGCTCCTCCTGCCCTGTCTCTGTCCCACCCACAGCAGCTGGAAGCCAGCCCTAACCAAGGGGAGCAGAGATGTGCCCCAGGAGCCATGGCTGTAGGCTCAGATGGCATGATGATGGACTAATRTAATCCAGTGAGATGTTCTTTTTATTATAAATATATTAATTCAGGAAAGAGAGCTACACTGGCACTTTGTAAAAGGCCACAAAATATTTCATCAGGGCTGTAGCATTCACCCACTCAAGAATGGAATCATTCTGCATTGTTACTAGTTGCTGTAAAAGTCCCATTTAAACAACAGGAGGGCAAGAAAGTGCTGGAAGGAATGTCCTGTGAGAAACAACTGAAGATTCTGGGGCTGTCTAGTTGGTGCARACCAGGTTATGGACTCCAGTAGCTGAAGGGCAGCCATGAATGCTGGGGGGTTCCTGGGTCTGCCCTGGTGATAGTCCRGACAGAACTTCTGCATAGAGAGGCAGTGAGGGGGCCAAGTGGCTTGAGGGAATAAGGACATACTCCCATCATCTTCCCGGAGGAGGATGAGCCAGATCAAAGAAGGGAAACTTGAGGACTGATTTTTTTTTTTTTTTTTTTATGTTCCATTTGCACAGTGAGAAGGAACAGGACAGAAGGGAAGAGAGTCGTTGCTTCAGGCCACTTGACCCCAGCTGGGCACCTCATCTGTGCACTGCAATGCACACCAGAAGAAGACAGCAGAGCACGAGGAGTGGCAGCAGGGATGGTTGAATACTTGGTCCTTGAGAGACGTTGCTTGGAGCTCAACAATCACTGAATTTGGGAATTCAAAGCTGCCTGTGCTGGGTGTCAGCGCTGTCCTCGCTCAGTGTAGAGCAGGGTTTGTTTTCAGTCATAAAGTATTGTGAGTTTTTCAAAATGTGAAGATAATCTCCAATTAATGAGCATCACTTCATTTAATTATTAAGAGAAGCTATCATTTGCTTTTTTATTGTTCCTCACCCCTCATTAGCTTTTGCTGAGCAGCTCTCTAACTGCCATATATTGTCTTTCATATTTCTTAGCTTTGTTTTCCTTCCTTCCTTCCTTTCTTTAAATGGCTTAATAACCTTTTTTTCGGGAGGAATCAGACCTTATTCCAAAGAAGAGGGTCTCTCCACACTCCCTACTCCCTTGATCTTCTTCTAATCCCTGTAGTTAGCCATTTCTTGCTGTGAGAAATAACCTGGCTGGTTTTCTTCCTTGGATCTGTCAATTGCAGCATCTCCTCATTGCTGAATTTTTCTCCCCTAAATGGGCAGGATGTAAGAGCTGACTGTATCGAATCTCTGTAACAGCTCAGCTATCTGGACTGATAATTATCAATGCCTGAGTGAGATTCAGAGCCTCACACACTTTGCCCAGTGCCTCGAGGCTTCTGCATCACTTAAAGATGCCCTGGCCTCCAACAGCTCTCAGGCAAATATAGAATGCACAATGTTAAAAAAAAAAAAAAAACAAAAAAAAACCTGAGTGATGTTTGACTAGGGCAAGGACAGTGCCTGGGAGKCAGGAGGGTGCACCCCTGCTGGACTCCAAGCCAGGATCTGGAAAAGAGAATMAGTGAAATTCAGCTTTTGCTGGGTCTGAGTCAACTGCAGGTAATGAGATGCTTAAACATTCCTCAATCTGTATCCAGTCCTGCTGCCCACCAGTGGGAATRGCTTCCTGAGYSRYGCAGGAGGTGGCCYGGTRACSGAGATCCAGGGGACATCTCCCAGARGAGRGACCCCGGCTGCCYGGGGTGTGCTCCCGGTCCCAGCYGGACAGYGCTGRTGGGCACAGGGYCCTGCAGSAGCAGCGCASTTTGCTCCCTGCAGACCCAGGCTGGAGCCGGACAGGAGTGTGGGATGAGAGGAGAATCCCCCCGGGGAACCTCTGCTATGAGGAGCCCCCTCCCTCCCTCTTCCTGTCTGCAGATGGAACCCTCACCCTGCGCCCTCGGTGGCTGTGGCGCGGCCCCCTGGGCAGGAGAAGCCCCCGGGAGGCAAAACCCAGAGGGAGAATTTGGAGGGCRGATTATTGAAACACTGAGTCACCASGAGTCTGCTCCAGGGAAACTATTTGAGCACACACAAATCAGCGTGCAARGATCCAGCGAGACATGTCGGAGTGATTAACAGCCCAAATTTATTAAGGTTAGCTCATGCCAAATGCAGCAGAGTGCCTTCAGCAGAGTTGCTGATGAAGACGATAACGGGGAACAGAGTGCAGGGGATACCTGAATTCCAGAGACAAATCCTCTTATATAGCCTCCTCACATAATGAACAAAGAAACCACAACATGCCAACTAGATTAACAAAACCCTAGCAGAAAAACCCCCACAATGAGTCAGAAAATTAGCTCAGGAAGGAGAAACAGAATACAATTATCATCACTTAGCTCTTCAAGTGGAAAACAGTACGGAGGGGCTGGCCAAAGCACGCTGCAGGGATAAAAGGGAATGTCCTCAGTTAAATCCAGCTTAARCCCTGAAAGTGGGGATGTAGGTGGGCAAGTGTCAGACCATCTTCTGGCACGGAGAAATAACTCAGCATCTTAGGTCTTTCACAGACCAGGGGAGGAAGAGACAGGAAGGAGCCTGACCCTTACCTGGGAGCATGGATGTGAAGGGCACACCCCGAATTCCCGCGTGGGAGAGGATATGCAGCCGCCCTGTGCCCCAGGCAGCAGGAGAGTCTGTCCCTGGAGCCGGGGCACGCAGCTCTGCCCTCTCACCGGCTGGATCCAAGCCGCCTGCCCCCCAGCMRAACCCGCCCGATCCCCCMGCCACCTCCCCCCGCCACCRCTCCTGCGCTGCGGTGGGCAAAGGAACGCTTCTGATCTCCCAGACTTTGGATGGAGCCCAGGCAGGAATACCGGCAAGTGAGGGCAGGTTTAGCACCAGGCACAGAGTGCAGTCAGCGCTTGGTTTGAACACTGAGGGCGTTTCACGAGCTGCCCTGTCCCGCCTGTGCTCAGCAGTGATCCCCACCCCAGTGCGAGGGTCTGTTCCTAAACTGCTCCCCGGAGGTGATAGCAGAGTACTCCCAGTGCTTGGCTTTTCCCAATCTGCACTGGAGCAGGACTAAAGTCCTTTGGGGTCCCTGATGGGATGGGGCAGGGGTCAGCAGCAGGTACCAAATGCTCTGAGCAGTGCTGGGGAGAGCTGGGAGGGACCGGCCAGAGCAGGAGGGGTGCGGGTGCTGTGCCCGGAGGAGCAAACTCCACAGGCAGCAGATGAAAAGCACCTCTTGCCCTGCGCTCCATCCCTGGTATTTTGTTCTTTGCCCTGATAATAAGGGCTGAATTAATRCATTTAGCCCTTGATTGACGTTTCACTCCCCCAGCAGCACACACCAGCTGATGCTGCAGGGTTCAGCGGTGCCAAATTGCAGAAGGACACTGCGATGAGCTGTCAGTGGAGAGCAGCTGTCACTTAACCAGAGGTGAGAGAGAAAAAATWGTAATAAACCTCCAAAAAGCCACAGGCTGAACTCTGCAGGAACTACATATCTGATTGTACAAYACAATAGTCTGTCACTTGAAGGGACTTCTCCGTGACAGGCCCCTAAATTCTCGTTGGCAGATGRGAGCAGACTAATTGCTTTATAAAATTAGATGAATGAACCATCTAATGCATCTGCTGGAGACAAACCCAATTGCTTTATGGGACACTTAAGGGACAAGTACAGGGAGTGTCCCCATTAATGGRATTTCTACTTATTACTTTGCAATTAATGGGGCTTCCGAGCGTGGAGGTTTATATCCTCTATATCATTYCCACAATATCAATCCCATTTCATTGCATACATCTGTATCCAATCCATATTGTGTCCTGCAGGCCATAGATCCTTGGCAGGATCCTGTCTGCAGGGACCTGCAGTTGGTGTTTGTAGCTGACAGCAGCAACAGGGATTTTCAAAGCCTCATTTTGACCATTTCTTGCTGTTCCCACAGCATTGCAGAAGTCATTGCTGTTTCAAACCCACACTTGGAGCTAAGCTGAGCACCACAATCAGTGTGATTCCGGGGTGGCCAGACCATGGGTCCTGTTAGGAGATAATTTATGATATCTAACATAAATGATGGCAGCAAGTTTCAGAGCAGCAGATTTTGTTCCTATTTTTGAGAGAAAGACGATGCTTGTGTACAGCCACATCCTGTCTCAGGCAGTTTTCCACAGGAATTAACCGATCAATTGATCAATGGCCTCAACCTTTTGCAGCTTTCTTCTCCTTCCACAGCTTACTTTGACCTTTTAATGGTGATTCATGCCAAACATGGCAGAAATCAGAATACAAGGAGTGCCTGGATCACTTCCAGATGGATTTACCACAGTTCCATCAGCRGGGAGTTGTAGTAAAAAGCTGTATTTCACTGGGTGGCTCTGGGCTATTTCGGGCAGTTTAATTCACTTCCAAACTGTGATACACTGCTCACACATTTCACTTTCAGTTAATAAACCAAGTCCCTCCTAAAGKCTGGAAAGGAATTGAGTTTTAGTTTTTACCATTTCAGTATTACTTCCACAATACATTGTTGTTCCTGAACTCCTCTTCACAGTTTAGTTATTTAACTGTTTGTCTCCATTTTCCACCCTGTTCTGGAATTAAAGGCATCAGTTGTTCCTGCTGACGAACAGTGACTGACACCAACTGCTCCCTCATGGAGATGGCAATGGCTGCACTCCAAATAAAGSCTTTAATGCAGGATCCTTTCCCTCTTTATGTTCATGTTTCTATGGCAGGATATAGATTTTTTCCTCGTTATTGAATTTGACACACCCTGTGTTCTATTTAAGAGAATTGCACTAACTTGCCTTACTTTGCCTCCCATTCAGGAGAATGTAAGTATTCTGCTGTCCTGCACASCTTGCAGGGCTAGATGTAGGGAAATTCATCCTCCAGGAGAACTGTTTTGGTTAACAAAGATATTAAAGACCATGAATATTTAGCAATATACTCAGGCATCTCACTATAAATGGGAACATCTTCACCACTTGGCTGATTCTTGACTTCTTTGTGAAGCCAAGTGGTGAAGATGTCAAATTGGTTTTTTTTTTTGGTTTTTTTGTTTTTTTTTGCCTTTGTTTCTCCTGGGCACTGAGAAAGAAAGGGGAAGGTAGAACACATGTCCTATTTTCCTGTCTGCAGTGTTGAGCATTGCTAGCACATTCTCTGCTCCCCCTCCTCATACAAAGTGGGGGACAGGAGCCTTTCCTCCATTTCCTTTCTGTATTGATGTGTTTGTGCCCACACACACACACTCTGGACGCCAGGCTGCCATTTCAAATGTCATTTTTGGCACAGGTGCTGCAGGGCAGGAGTTGATTCTGGTGGTGCCCAGGGCAGAGGGTGTGGGGCACAGCCTTTGGGARGATCCTCTGGACAGGACCAGGACATGACCGTGGTGAGGAGCAGAGCAGCTCACGGCCCTCCTGCTCTCGATGGAGACACCCTTGTTCTGTCCCACAGGTCCTGTAGCACCTGCTGAGCACCACAATGGCCAAGGCAGGATGGGATCCCCAGCCTGGGGTCATGTCTGACTCCTCTGACTTTGGAGGTGGCCAGGGCATAGACCTGRGACATTGTGGGCTCCTCGCTCCAACATGTTAGTATTAACTGGAGGAGGTAAAAAATGATGAAAATTGGCTCTGTTATTTTACTTGATTGGGCTATTTATTTGTAATACAGTAATTCTTCAAACCAGCTGAGAGCAGAATGAGGGGGAGTGTGGAGAGGTATTGAATTGGTTATAAAAACATTTTATTCTTTTGCTAAAACTCCATCCCTAACACTGCTGCGTTGGAAGTCAAACAAGCCCAGTACCCAGGCTATCAGCTTCTATTAGTGCACAATTGTTACAGARAAACAGCCTGGCCAGGCTCAAAAACCTCATTTACCACCAGGACTCTGGGCAGGAATACAGAAATTCCACTTGGAATAATAATGTATTTTTGGTGRATAATAATTATTGGCATCAGGTTGTCCCCAATGACAGAGTGTTCTTCTGCCTCCAGCACAGTACTGGGATTGGAGCCGGATTTATTTTCCCTTAAAAAT